GTTACCTCCTGCAGCTCCAGAAATACGACATTCCTGCCACTGCTGCCACTGCCACCTCGCCCACCCCAAATCCAGTCCCATCTGTGCCTGCCAACCCTCCCAAGAGTCCTGCCCCCGCGGCAGCGGCCCCTGCTGTACAGCCACTGACCCAGGTGGGCATCACGCTCCTGCCCCAGGCTGCCGCCGCACCCCCAACCACCACCACCATCCAAGTCTTGCCGACAGTGCCTGGCAGCTCCATCTCTGTGCCCACTGCAGCTAGGACTCAAGGTAAGCTGGCACCTGGCAGCACTGGTGGCTGGGTGTGCCTGGGTGGGGATGGCCTTCAGGGACTGACTCGAGAAGGGAGAGCTCAGCCTTGCCCATGGCAAAGCCGCTCTCTGTGGGTGTTGAGTAGAAGCAGCCAGGTAGCACAGCAGATCCAAGGCACGAGGCCCACACTGGACTCGGCTCCAGCACTGCTCAGAGGGGGCTGGTCAGCTGTCACCGGTCCCAGGTGTCCCCTGGGGCACTGCTGACACCCGCCCTCTTCTCTCGCCAGGTGTCCCTGCTGTTCTCAAAGTAACTGGGCCTCAGGCCACCACAGGAACCCCGCTGGTCACTATGCGACCTGCCAGCCAGGCTGGGAAGGCCCCTGTCACTGTGACCTCCCTGCCTGCAGGCGTGCGGATGGTCGTGCCCACGCAGAGTGCCCAGGGGACGGTGAGCAGCAGGCCAGCGGGGCTCAGTATAAGGGGAGAGTCTAGCAGCCAAGGGTTGGAGCCAGGCCCATGGAGAAGGAGCTGAACCCTGAAAACAGTCCCAGGGTTCAGCCAGACTCTGGCTATTGCAGTTCCTATGGTGGGTCACTGGGAGGAGCCCTCTCAGGTTGGGGGCAGGAGAGCAGGGAGGGGGTGGGCTGATTTGCCATGGCTGCCCACAGGTGATTGGCAGCAACCCACAGATGAGCGGGATGGCGGCATTGGCGGCGGCGGCGGCTGCGACCCAGAAGATTCCCCCTTCCTCAGCACCCACGGTGCTGAGTGTTCCAGCAGGAACCACCATTGTCAAAACTGTGGCCGTGACTCCTGGCACCACTACCCTCCCAGCCACCGTGAAAGTGGCTTCGTCACCCGTCATGGTAAGCGTCTCGTGAGGCTTCTGGTGCACGGGTTCTGATGGCTAGCTCCCCTCTTTCTGGACCCCGGACCCAGGCATGGGGGCTGGTGGTGGTTGCCAGTGGCTGTTGGTTAAGTCGTCTGCTTGTGGGGTGGGGTTGGAGGGGAGAGCTGGGATTGAGCGGTCTGCTGGGTCATCAAGTCTTCCCCTGGTGTCGGTGAAGGAACAGGAAACCGAGCTGTGCAGCAGCCCGGGGTGGGGGGCAGTGAGCAGAGAGATCTGGCCTTCAGCTCAGAGAGCTAAGGCAGCGGGCTCCCTTCTTTCTCTCACCGCTCACCTCTGCCCCCAGGTGAGCAACCCTGCCACCCGCATGCTGAAGACAGCTGCCGCACAGGTGGGGACATCTGTGTCCTCTGCTGCCAACACGTCAACCCGCCCCATCATCACCGTGCACAAGTCGGGGACTGTGACTGTGGCCCAGCAAGCCCAGGTGGTGACCACTGTGGTGGGTGGTGTCACCAAGACCATCACCCTGGTGAAGAGCCCCATCTCAGTCCCTGGTGGCAGTGCATTGGTGAGTGGCAGCTCTGGGTGGGGTGGGCCTGGTCACCTGCTTTGATGGCAGCCATGCCCTTGTTTGCTTGCCTGATCGACCTTCCCCTCCTTCTGCTCTTTAGATTTCTAACCTTGGCAAAGTGATGTCAGTGGTTCAGACCAAACCTGTTCAGACCTCTGCAGTCACAGGCCAGGCCTCTACGGGCCCGGTGACCCAGATCATCCAGGTGAGTGTGGGCATGGGTCCCTGCCAGCCCCACCCTGCAGGGTGTTAAGCCTGGCCCATCCGCTCCCCAGGCAGCTGACTCTCCCCTCCCACTTCCCTCCAGACCAAAGGCCCCCTGCCTGCCGGGACCATCCTGAAGCTGGTGACCTCAGCAGACGGCAAGCCCACCACCATCATTACAACCACACAGGCCAGTGGGGCGGGAAGCAAGCCAACCATCCTGGGCATCAGCAGCGTCTCTCCCAGCACCACCAAGCCTGGCACCACCACCATCATTAAGACGATCCCCATGTCAGCCATCATCACCCAGGCGGGTGCAACAGGTACAGCTCGAGTGGCCTGGGTGCTGTGCCACCACCTCCCCTGCCTCCTTGGGTTCTGAGAGTGGCTGGGATGGAGAGCCAAGGCCATGTGAGAGCCACAGCATTTTCTGTGTCTTTTGCTCCGAGCTCTCTCTGCTTATCTTTTGGGTGTCTTTTAGGACTTGGAGGGAAGTTGGTGGGGGCGGACTGTAAGTTATGACTCTTCATTTCAATCTGAGAGCAGCAGGGATAACTTTGGGGGAGGGACACGAGGGCATTTTGGGGCATGGGAAGCTGTCAGCCTCCCGAGAGGTCAGGGTCCGGGCAGGAGGTGGCTTCAGGGAAGCCCGACTCCCCACGTCTAAAGACAAGTCCCCCCACCCCCAAGGTGTGACCAGCACTCCTGGCATCAAGTCCCCCATCACCATCATCACCACCAAAGTTATGACTTCAGGGACTGGCGCCCCTGCCAAGATCATTACTGCTGTCCCCAAGATTGCCACTGGCCATGGGCAGCAAGGAGTGACCCAGGTGAGGCACACCTGCCCCCTTCTCAGCCCAGTGCAGCTGCATCCCCTCCCCCCTGCCTCCCATGCCCCAGCTGTCACGAGTAGCCTCCAGAGGAGCCTGGGAGGGACAGCCCAGGGCACAGCCCGTAAGTGATGGTGGTGGGTCTTCCGGTGTCCAGGTGGTGCTGAAGGGGGCCCCCGGACAGCCAGGCACCATCCTCCGTACCGTGCCCATGGGTGGTGTTCGCTTAGTCACCCCAGTGACTGTCTCCGCTGTCAAGCCAGCTGTCACCACGTTGGTTGTGAAGGGCACCACAGGTACGTTGCCCACTGCCGTAGTCCTCAGCAGTGGCTGTGTTCTCCTGATCTTTGTAGTCATCTTGTCCCTGCCTCCTGCAGCAAGGCTGACAGAAGCCTTCAATCCCAATGAGGTGCACTCCTGAGTTCCCAGGGTCCCTCCAGGATCACTGACTCTGCTCATCCTGTTGTGTCCAGTTCCCAGTCATATCCCACCCAGTGAGAGAAGTTTCTGGAAAAGTGGCACCAGCCGCAGGGCAGTCACCCCACCCCTGCCTCCTTTCCTCCCTCTAGGTGTCACTACTCTTGGCACTGTGACAGGCACTGTCTCCACCAGCCTTGCGGGCGCTGGTGCCCATAGCACCAGTGCCTCGCTGGCCACACCCATCACCACCTTGGGGACCATCGCCACCCTCTCAAGCCAGGTGATCAACCCCACGGCCATCACCGTCTCAGCTGCTCAGACCACACTGACGGCTGCCGGCGGGCTCACCACCCCCACTATCACCATGCAGGTAGGAGGGACAGGGCCGGTGTTGGGGTGGAGAGCTGGAGCGCATGTGTGGGCACACTCACGACACATGACAGAATCTGGGTGCTAGAAAACGGAGCCTGGCGGGTTGCCCGCAGGGCATCCCTTCTCGGCTGGGTTCTGCTGCCATAAGAGGACTGTGACTGTCCACAAGTCTGTTGTGACGATGGCTCGTGTTCTAGCTGCTTCCAGCCTTTAGACCCTCAGTGTGACAGGGGATGGTCTCAGTGATGGTGGGCTTGACTTCAGCTGAGTTCCACTCCACTCCTCTCCTCTCCCTGTAGCAGGAGAGGGAGCAGAGTACACGTGGTGACTGCACTGACCCATGCCCTCGGCTCTGCGGATCGAGGAGGTAGTCACTGCCTGTGCAGAGCAGGCAGACAGACAGGTGGAAATGGTGCCACTGATCTCTTCCCGTTTGGTGTTTCCCCCAGCCTGTCTCACAGCCTACCCAGGTGACTCTGATCACAGCACCCAGCGGGGTCGAGGCCCAGCCCGTGCATGATCTCCCTGTGTCCATTCTGGCCTCGCCGACCACAGAGCAGCCCACGGCCACTGTGACCATTGCTGACTCGGGCCAGGGCGATGTGCAGCCTGGCACCGTGACGCTGGTGTGCTCCAACCCCCCCTGCGAGACGCATGAGACGGGCACCACCAACACAGCCACCACCACGGTTGTGGCCAACCTTGGGGGGCACGCCCAACCCCCCCAGGTCCAGTTCGTCTGTGACAGGCAGGAGGCAGCTGCTTCACTTGTGAGCTCCACCGTGGGGCAGCAGAACAGCAGTGTGGTCCGTGTGTGCTCCAACCCACCCTGTGAGACCCACGAGACGGGCACCACCAGCACGGCCACCACCGCCACCTCCAACATGGCAGGGCAGCCTGAGTGCTCCAACCCCCCGTGTGAAACCCACGAGACGGGCACCACCAGCACTGCCACCACTGCCATGGCTAGTATCGGCTCTGGGCAGCCAGCAGCTGCCAACCAGCAGCGTGAGGCCCGCCCCACCTCAGGTCGGGTGGCTGTGGGCACTGGGTCAGCCGAGGGAGCCCAGAGCTCAGGCATGCCCCCATGCCAAACTCGCCAGACCAGCTCAACCCACACCACCATGACTGTGATGGCCACAGGGGCTCCGTGTTTGGCCCCTCTCAGAGTGCCCAGCCTGCTGCTAGAGGCTGGCAGCAACAGCACTGGCTTTGTCCAGCTGGTCCCTCCAAGTGGCAGAATTGGGCCCAGCGGTGCCAGCAGCAAGGACAGCCCTGTGGCAAGCCTGGGCCAGCTGGTGCCCATGGGGCGACAGCTGGAGACACATCACACCTACACCACCAACACCCCCACCATGGTGCGTGCCGCTATGGGTAGCGGGGAGCCTGGTGAGGCCCAGCGTGTCCCCAAGCTTGTGAGTGAGAGCCACCAGACTGGCTCAACCAGCACCATCATGACTGTGACGGCCCTGGAGGCACTGCTGGGCCCTTCCACCCCAGTGACCCAGGTCTGCTCCAACCCGCCCTGCGAGACCCATGAGACAGGTACCACCAATACGGCCACCACCTCAAATGCAGGTGGTGTCCAGCGAGTGTGCTCCAACCCACCCTGTGAGACCCACGAGACAGGTACCACCAACACAGCCACCACCGCCACCTCCAGTGGTGGCTCAGGGCACCAAGAGGGTGGGCCGCAGCAGACCCCCACCAGCTGCCCCTGTGAGACACACCAGACCACCTCCACTGGCACCACCATGACCGTCAGCGTTGGTGCCTTGCTCCCTGACGACAGTGCCACCCACAGGACCCTGGAGGCCGTCCTAGATCCAGCGGTGGCCCCAACCCCTGTGGCCCCCCAGGCCAGCCCCGCACTGCTTGCTCCCTTCCCAACCCAGCGGGTTTGCTCCAACCCGCCCTGTGAGACCCACGAGACAGGCACCACACACACAGCCACAACCGTCACCTCCAACATGAGTTCAAATCAAGGTGAGTGCTGGCGGCCACCTGGCATTCCGGGTTCCCCATGCCCCAGGACTATACAGAGCAGAGATTTCTCCAGAGTCAGGTCACTGCTGGCCTTCATCTTTAAGAACGTGTGTTCCACGTTCGGTGGGGGTGGGGGTGGGGGTGGCCTCGGGCCTGCTGACTAGCTCCGTCGGGCCCCCGTGACCCTGCTGTCTGCTGCCTCTACCAGATCCTCCACCAGCTGCCAGTGATCAGGGCGAGGTGGAGAGCACCCAGGGCGACAGCTCCATTGCTGTCACGACAACCGTGTCTTCCACGCTGACGCGAGCAGTGACCACTGTGACGCAGTCCACGCCGGTTCCAGGCCCCTCTGTGCCGGTGAGAGCTCCAGAGGGTCTGCTCTGTCCTCTGCCGGCTGTTCAGCCCCCGGGGCCGGAAAGGCTTTGCTGTTGCAATTCCAGAGTTGGGCACCAGGGGTCACTCTTGGACCGCACATGGTGCGGTGGCCGGTGCTTTTCCAGACCGTAAAAGGCCAAGCTCCTGTGTCGGACTGGGCCTGTTCGTTTTCGTAGCTGCTTCACGTCACTGCCCGTTTTGCTTTGAGAGTTGTCCTCTGAGCCCTTTGCGTAGACAGGAATCCGCTCTGAGGTCTTACCCCACCAGTCAGACTTAAAGCTCTCTCCTTCCCCACCCAGCTGTTCTGTGTGATGCTGGGCACCCTCCCTCAGCTGCAACGTAATAAGTGACCCCGCAGGAACGGAAGCAGGTCCTGGGGAGAGTTAAGGCCGTCCCGCTCCTTGGCCCACCTGCCTCGTCCCGGCCTCCTTCTCCTCCCCTCTGACAGGGACTTCTCTCCCTTTCCAGAGGATCTCATCAATGACTGGGACTACCCCCGGGGCTCTGAGCACCGAAGTCCCCATCCCGGCCACCATAACAGTGACCATAGCCAACACAGAAACTTCTGACATGCCCTTCTCTGCTGTTGACATCCTGCAGCCCCCAGAGGACCTCCAGGTCTCGCCCGGGCCTCGCCAGCAGCTACCCCCGCGGCAGCTCCTGCAGCCGGCCTCCACACCCCTGCTGGGGGAGCCCGCCGACGCCCTGGCGGCCACCCAGGCCCCTGAGCTCCAGGCAGCTGTGGACTTGAGCAGTACAGGGGACCCGTCTTCGGGCCAGGAGCCTGCCAGCTCCGCGGTGGTGGCCACCGTGGTGGTCCAGCCTCCCCCACCCACACAATCTGAGGTAGACCAGTTGGCACTGCCCCAAGAGCTGATGGCTGAGGCTCAGGCGGGCACTACCACCCTCATGGTGACAGGGCTCACCCCGGAGGAGCTAGCTGTGACTGCTGCCGCTGAAGCCGCTGCCCAGGCTGCGGCCACAGAGGAAGCCCAGGCCCTGGCCATCCAGGCGGTGCTCCAGGCTGCCCAGCAGGCAGTCATGGGTAGGTGCCTGGGGACCCACAAGCTCCTAGAGCTTGCTCTGCTGGAGGCCACACGGAGGTCCCAGGGGGTGGAGGCAGCCAGGGAGAAGAATCCACTTTCTGTGAGAGGGGACCAAGTCAGAGGCGACCGGGGGGGCCTGTCCCAGAGGCGCAGGTAGGACCAAGTCGGGCAACAGTGTTGTGATCAGGATGGAAGTGACCAGGTGGGTGCACTCTGCAGCTGGGCTCTTGGGGGCCCCGTGGAGACGTTGCCTGTGGTACGTAGGAGGGAAGGTGGTGAGGAGGGGGCCCCTGTGCTTCTCCTGAGTCGTTTCGGTCTCCTCCCGGAGCAGGCACCGGGGAGCCAATGGACACATCTGACGCGGCCGCTGCGGTGACACAGGCGGAGCTAGGGCACCTGTCGGCCGAGGGCCCAGAAGGCCAGCCCGCCACCATCCCCATCGTGCTGACGCAACAGGAGCTGGCTGCCCTGGTGCAGCAGCAGCAGCTGCAGGAGGCCCAGGCCCAGGCCCAGCACCACCTGCCCACTGAGGCCCTAGCCCCTGCTGACAGCCTCAACGACCCCGCCATTGAGAGCAATTGCCTCAACGAGCTGACGGCTGCTGTCCCCAGCACCGTGGCCCTGCTGCCTTCCACAGCCGCTGAGAGTAAGCAGGGCCCAGCCTCTGCCCTGAGCCCTACTTGGCCTTGGGGCTCTGTTGAGGCCCGAAAGAGCTGGGTGTCAGGCTGTGTACTGAGGGTGTGGGTGCTGGCTCGGATGGCTCGTTCCTGGGCTGAGGGCGTGGACGCAGGGCTGCAGTGTCGGCCGGGGTGGGGGCCCCGTGTCCAGAAGCCTAGGGGGGCTGGAGGGTGCTCTGCTCTGACGGCGCCTCTCTCCACAGGTTTGGCCCCGTCTAACACGTTTGTGGCCCCTCAGCCTGTTGTGGTAGCGAGCCCAGCAAAGCTGCAGGCCGCGGCCACCCTGACCGAAGTAGCCAACGGCATAGAGACCATTGGGGTGGTGAGTCTGGCGTGGCAGACCCCCAGGGGTGCCGCCTCCACCCAAAAAGGGACCTGTCTCATCCCGTGTCCCTGTTGCTGTCTCCAGAAGCCTGACCTACCACCCCCACCCAGCAAAGCCCCCGTGAAGAAGGAGAACCAGTGGTTCGACGTGGGCGTCATTAAGGGCACCAATGTGATGGTGACACATTATTTCCTGCCACCAGATGATGCCGTCCCCTCTGACGTAAGTGCCTTGGTCTGCCGGGGGCTGCACCAAAGCCCGGAGAGTGGGGGAATTGAGGGCTGGAGGGTCTCTTTCAGGTCCCCAGGGTCGCCTGTCTTTGGGTGGAACTGGACAGAGCCTGGTGAGCGCTGCCCCTCCCCCACTTGTGGAAGAACTAGAAGGCAGGAGCGTCTCCACCCCCTTGGTCACCACAGACCCATCAGGTCCCAGGACTGCCTTGTGGCCAGCCGGAGGCTTCACGCCTCTTTGCTCTCTTCTCTTTGCCTCCACCGTCTCGTGCCCTAGGATGACTCAAGCTCTGTCCCGGACTATAACCAGCTGAAGAAGCAGGAGCTGCAGCCGGGCACAGCCTATAAGTTCCGGGTGGCTGGTGTCAACGCCTGTGGCCGAGGGCCCTTCAGTGAGATTTCGGCCTTCAAGACATGCCTGCCTGGCTTCCCTGGGGCCCCTTGTGCCATTAAGATCAGCAAAGTGAGTGCGGCAGTGGGGTCCGTGGGGAGATGGCAGAAAGCAGCTGCCGTCCTGGCTCCGTCACCAGTCACAGGGATAGCCAAGGGCAAGTCCCCTGCTGTCTGCCCACCTCTGCCCCTCTGTAGCGAGCGCTGCCACCCATTGAGCATTGCCTATGGTAAGCACTTACTCCATGCAGCCTCACACCACAGGCCCCAGCCTGAGGAGGTCTGGGTCATTTCTGAAACGGGGGCACTGAGGCACAGAGAGGCAAGTGACAGAGCACACGGGAGGAGGCAGCATCTTTGCAGGGCTCTCCAGACACTGTGTCAGTCCCTCTGTGGCGTGCTAGAGTCCCTCTGCTCTTCTGGGGTTGGGCTGAAGGCACTCGGGTCACAAAGGCCAGGCAGAGCCACCCTTGACCTCCTGATCCTTCACTTCCAGAGTCCAGATGGGGCCCACCTCACCTGGGAGCCCCCCTCTGTGACCTCTGGCAAGATCATCGAGTACTCGGTGTACCTGGCCATCCAGAGCACGCAGGCCAGTGGCGAGCCCAAGAGTGCAGCCCCAGCCCAGCTGGCCTTCATGCGGGTCTACTGCGGGCCCAGCCCCTCCTGCCTGGTGCAGTCCTCCAGCCTCTCCAACGCCCACATAGACTACACCACCAAGCCCGCCATCATCTTCCGCATCGCTGCCCGCAACGAGAAGGGCTATGGCCCCGCTACACAAGTCAGGTGGTTGCAAGGTGGGTGTTGGCTGAGCGGCCTGGGCAGGCACACGGCCCACACTCCATCTCCCCTGCTTCCTGAACATTCTGCCATCAGTCTGGCCTGGCCTTGCCCATCCCCCACTCATTCCTCCTCTCATTTAATAACCCCCCCCAGCCCCTCCTGAGGCAAGCACTGATTGGTTGGGGGCTCTAGGACACGGCTTCCAACCGTGCTTTGCAGCTTTGTAATTGAGGGTGTGTTGTGTAGAGTACGGAAGGTAAAGCTATGGGAAATCAAGGGTCCCTCGCCTGGTCTAGGGGTGTGGGCAGGGGACCGAGGTCCTTCTCACATAGCTACCCGTAGCTAAGCTTGGTTTCTTAGGGTGCCATCAGTTAGCTCCTCTTGTTGACTGGATGCGACAGGGTGCTGCGTGAGTGGCACTTCCTGCCATGCAGTGCCCCTTACTGCCTCATCTCTCCTCACAGAAACCAGTAAAGACAGTTCGGGCACCAAGCCGGCCAGCAAACGGCCCATGTCCTCTCCGGAAATGTAAGCAGGAGCCCAGGGTTGGGAGTGGTCAGTGCTTGGAGGGAGGGAGCCGTGGAGACCATGGGGCTGGGGGCGAGCCTGGCCAGGGATGGGCCTGCTGTGCCACTAATGGCCCCTCTTCCTCCTCCTCCTCTTCCTCGCTCCCAGGAAATCCGCTCCAAAGAAATCGAAGGCAGACGGCCAGTGAGAGGAGCGTGGCCAGCAGCTGGCTGCTTCTCCGGAGTCCTCCCCTCCCCTCTTGCTTCAGGAACACCGCCTGCCCTGCTGGGGGGGCCCTCCGCCCCGTCCCACCCCACCTCCCTGGCCGCCACTAATTCGTTCGCGTGCTCAGTTGGTCCTTGGTTCATTCTCTGTGTCTCTTTCTCTGTTTTGAAAGAAAAACGATCTAAAGCAAGCACATTTCCCCACTGTGGTGGGAGGAAGTGGAAGGTGGCCCGTGTGGAAGAGCTGTGTGCGCGCGCGTGCTTCCTCCTGCCTCCTCCTCCTGCCCCCCCTCCCCAAGCCCTGCTTGTGTCTCCCACGGACGTACGAAAACACGACAAGCAAGCCAAACCCACTCCCTCAGCCCCCCGAACCTGAACACCGTTGGCTGATCTCGGCCCTGGGCTGAGGCAGAGGGGCTGCGTGGGTGCAGAGGCAGGCCCCCGCCCGCCCCATAGCCCACCGGCACCTCTGCACCGTCTGCTTTGACTTTATTTTTTTATCTTTCTGGCCTCAGCCACTCAACATCCCTTCCCTAGGCCTTTTCAGCCCCGCTCCACCCAGCGATCCCTGGGGAGCTTCGACACTGGCTCACAGCCTGGGCGCGCTCCCCACCTCTTCTCTCCCTCCCCCTTTCCCGTGGAAAAAAAGACGGGGGAAGGCCCTGGGCAGCCACCCTGCAGCGTCAAGGTGGCCACAGAGCTGGGCCTTGGCGGGCAGGGCGGGGTGACATCACCAACTGCTGCATCTGTTGTATTTTTTTCAGTTGACATTGACGAAGTTAACGTTTTTATTGTAATTTTAGCCTTAGCGTGTGATTTTGTCTTTTTGTTGTTAGCTGTGTACAGAACGTGTATCCTTTTTTTTATTATTGTTTTCTTCTTGGCTAAGCATCGGCTTGGCACTGATTATTTTGGTGGGGGGGAGCTGTGGCCTTGGGGGGAGCTGAGAACACGGCCAGGTGACCTCTGCACTGAGGGGCTGGCTTGAGGTCGGTGGGGGCCCAAGGCAGTCAGGTTTCTTAGAAAAGACAAGTGGGGTCTGCATGCCCCAGGCCAGAATGGCGGCGGCGGCGGCGGCGGCGGCGGCGAAGGTGGCCTCCCTCAGCTAACTGGTCTGTAGACTGCACCCCTGAGCAGCTGCTCTGACGTCCCACCCCCACCCCTACCCCAGGCAGCCTTGGAAGGGGAAGGGGGGGACTGGTGCAGAAGGGGAAGGGGGGGACTGGTGCGGAACCAGGAAGTGGAGGTGCTGGGCAGCCCAGCCTGGTGTCAGTCTTAACAAAGGTGGGACCTCCCCACAGCCGCCTTCCAAGGGCCCCAGGGGGGCTTGGGGTTCTGCTTGGAGTGGGTAACTAGCCGCCTCTCTGCCCCACCCCCAAGCTGTAGGCAGAGAGCAAGGCTCCCAGCAGGTTACAGAGGATTCCAAAGGAAGCCCGCTCCACCCTGGATGAGGCTGGGTAAGCCTTCCTCAGCCTCTGCCCTGGAAGGCCCTCTGCCACCGCCCGCATCTTTGGGGGCCAGCTCGTATTCTAGCACAGCTCGCTGTGGGAAGCACCACCATCGGTCACCTCGGGGGCCCACACGCTGGCCCCATTGTTTCCTACCCAAGCGCCCTTTGATTTCTTGTTTCTGAGAGCTGTCCACTTGTCCATCTATTGTAGAGGAATCCCCGTGGCTTAATATTACCATAGTGTGATGTCGTTTTGTGCTATTTTGAACAATTAAAAGACGTTTTTTGAAATAACTGCTGTCTCTCAAGTCTGGGGCCTCCCAGGATGCCTGTGGGGGAGGGGCTGGCGGCCACAGTGCCTTTGCTGGGAAGAGACCGGGGGAGGGGCTGGGTTCTGGCAAAGGCTGGGCTGGGACCGGGTTGCCCACAGGTCCCGGGGTGGATCCTGTGCCAACAGGCTGAGGGACCTCCTGGGCAGTGGCCGTGGCTTCCGGCTGTCCAGAGACCGGCCCTTCTCTTCCCAGGGAGGTGCCCCTGGGCTCGGTTTCTCCCAACTGGATAGTGGAGGCTTGGGAGGGGCACAGGCCCTGTTGAGTGTGCCCAAAGCTGCCCCACCTGGCCATGTGGGAGAACGTGGTGGCCCTCAGAAGGGGTCCCATCACAGAACCCCCAAGAGAACTGCCCCAGCCTGGCCAGAGCTGTCCTGTCTGGCCCACAGCAGGGGGTATATCAGTCAGTGGTCCCTGTAGGAGGCCCTGCTTCCGGAAGCAACCGGAAGTTCTGCTGAACCTAATGTGGGAAGTCTTGTAGCTAGGACTGGGAACCTGTGAGTTCTTGGTGCTGGCCAGCCAGGAGATCAGAGAGGCTCAGAGAACAGTGGCCTGGGGCCAGGGGCCACGGAGAAGGGTGGGGAAGTGTCCTTCAGATCGGACAGAACCACCCATGCCCAGAGGTGAGGGTCCGGGTAGGGCTGGCCTCAGGTGAGGGAGAGGCCTTGCAGGTTGGCTAGGCATGTGCTCACCCACCTCGAGGAGACCTGTAACGCACTGTGCAAGGCCAGGGCTGCACCACTACTGTCTTTGGTCTCAAAATACATGCTCGAGTGTGGGCACGACACTCCCTGGTCTTCCAGGGAGAGCCTAGCAGGTTGAGACATGGCATCTGTGCTGGCCCTGCTCCTTCAGGCCACCCATGGGAGCCGGAGCTCTCCACACACCAAGCCTGGGGAGGTGGGACATTGTGAGGAGGTGGGTATATCCCACAAGGTCCAAGCCACCTACACCGGGGCTGTGGTGGAAGGCAGAGGTGTACCCAAAGCATCCAGCAGCAGGCACCCACCCGCCAGCCAGGGAGGCTGGCCTTACTCCCAAGCAGAAGGAACAGGAACTGCCTGTGTATGGGAGGGTGGGCCTGGCAGGAAGCAGCCAACGCGACACGGAAGAGCAGCAGTATGCAGTGCCATCGCGCCCATTAATTTCTCGGATGGGATTCTGCCCCATTGGCAGCGACACAGTTGGGGGAGAGTTCGGCCAGTCTTCCTCTGATCCATCTGAGGGAGGCCTTCCGGGTGAGGAAGTCTGAGGTTCTGGACTTGCTGGGCTCACAGGTAATTGGATGGGTGGGGTCCCTGTCTGGGCCCTGGGGTTCTCATCTCCCCACTCGTCCCGCCTTCCTGCTCCACCCCGCTCCGCCTTGTCCCAGCCCCCAGGCCCCTCTCCAGGGTGGCCAAGGCGCTGGGCGGGGAGGCCTGGCCCACCCACCCGCCCGCCTCGCCCCAGTCCATCCTGCCAGCTCACCCAGCATTTCCCACCGGGAGGATTTCGAGGGGAGGGCGCCCAGGAGGCCATCGGACGGGTGCTAAGTGTCTGCCCGGGGATCCTCCAGGCGGTGGGGTGGGGCCCAGGGGAGACCCAGGGGCCGAGCTGCACAATCGCCTAGCCCCGCCCCTCGCCGCGGGCCCCGCCCCCGCGCCCTGCGGAGTCCCCGGGGCGGAGCGAGCCAGCGAACGGGTGGGTGCGTGGGTGGGGCCCGGCTCGGTCAGCTGAGTGGTAGTCATGGGACGGAGACCAGCTTCGTCTGGCTTCCTGGAGGACTGGGAGGGATGAGCGGGGGTCTCCGAGAGCAACAGGCCAGTGGTGGGACTGGGGGAGGGGACTGCCCTAGAGGGTCTCGGGGCTGGTGGGGGGCCGGCCCCTTGCCGGGACGTCCCGCCGAGAGCTGGGAGGAAACCCGAGGGCTGGGTTCTGGAGGAGCCCGGCTAGACGGCTCTGGGGCTCATCGGGGTGTGGGCCGATCCCAGGGCCATAGGAGCCCCGTTGAGGAGGCAGGGACCTGAGGAGGCCCCGTGGAGGCGTAGCCCTTACTTTCCAAGTTCCCCTATAGGACATGGAAAAGGAGCGGGAGACCCTGCAGGCCTGGAAGGAGCGCGTGGGGCAGGAGCTGGATCGAGTCGTGGCCTTCTGGACCCAGCACTCCCATGACCAGGAGTACGGGTGGGCCACCCCCTTTTGGCATTCTCCACAGGGTCTTTGCCCCTCCCAAGCCTCCACCCTCAGCTCCCAGCCCCCACACAGTCCCTCTCTTCCTGTCCTGGAGGCTGGGCAAAGTGCCTTCCGCCTGGTCCCGGCCCCTCACCTAACTACTGTGCCGCCTGGACAGGGGTTTCTTCACGTGCCTGGGCCGTGATGGACAAGTGTATGATGACCTCAAGTACGTCTGGCTGCAGGCGAGGCAGGTAGGAGTGCCCCCAACCATGCAGCTGCCTGGCCTCTCCGTACCACACCCCTGCTGCCCAGATGGGGGTACTTCAGATGCCCCGACCTGACACTGAGGACCCTGGTGCTGCCCCCTGAAGCCACTTCCCTCCTGCTCCCCCACAGGTGTGGATGTACTGTCGCCTGTACCGCAAGGTCAAGCGCTTCCGCCGCCCTGAGCTGCTGGAGCCAGCCAAAGCAGGTGCCCCCCCACCTCTGAGGCTCCTCAACAGAGGGGTCTGAAATCGGGGAAGGGTCTGGGAGGATCCAGGGGGATGGTTTTCTCACCTGAGTTCTAGGACCCTCGCTTGCCAACTCCAGGGGGTGACTTCCTGCTGCGCCATGCCCTGGTGACACCGCCTGAGAAGAAATGTGCCTTCGTGCTGACAAGGGACGGCCGCTGTGTCAAGGTGCAGCGCACCATCTTCAGCGAGTGTTTCTACACCATGGCCATGAATGAGCTGTGGAGGGTCACGGGGGATGCACGCTACCAGGTAGCGGGCAGAGAATGGCCACGTGGCCCACTCCTGCTCACGCTTTCCCACCTTCATCTGTGAGCCAAGCTCAGGACCGTGGGAGGGCGCCGGAGGGCAGTGGGAAGCGGGTGGCGCCCCTGCTGTGAGCCAGCTGGGCTCCGTTACTCTCGGGGACCGGCCCCTAGTTCCCGTTCCACCCCTGCCCTGTGCCCGGCACCTTGGACCAGCCAGCCCTCCCCACAGGAGTCCGAGTCTGTCGGTCCTGCAGCTCTCCCCAGTCCGTCTGTCCTTTGTCCCTGCAGCAGCCCCCTGACTGCGCTGTCTTGCTGCCATTGTGTGTTGAGGGGTGTCTCCGCCTCGCCCTCTTCTCCCACCCCCCTGCACACCCCAGGCCCTGGGCAGACGGACTCGGCCCGTGGCCCGCCCCCACTCCAGCTGGGGGGGTCCCTCCCTCCTCCCTCACTCCCTCCCCCTCCCTCCCTCCGTCCCTCCTCCCTCCTCTCTCCTCTGCCTGGGTCCCGGGAGCCCCCTGGCCCGGAGGAGCCCAGTGTCGCCGCCGCCTGGCTTTTGTCTCCCCAGAACGAGGCGGTGGAGATGATGCAGCAGCTCGTGCACTGGGTGCGGGAGGACCCGTCGGGGCTGGGCCGTCCGCGGCTCCCGGGGGACCCGGGCGCAGAACCCATGGCGGTGCCCATGATGCTGCTGGGCCTGGTGGAACAGCTCGGGGAGGCGGACGCGGAGCTGGCGGCCACCTACGCGGAGCTGGGGGACTGGTGTGCCGGCAGGATTCTGCGGCACGTCCAGGTGGGGCTGCGGGCGCTGGGCCCCGCCCCCACTCGCCTTGTGGCCCATTGGGCCGAGGGGCAAGAGGGAGGCTGCAGGGTCCAAGTCCACCCTGGGCCTCCTCAGGCAGCCACGCCCCTCCCGTCCATGGTCCCCCACCCCCACCCCCGCCCAGGCCCCCAGGAGGGAAGCAGTACACCAGCCCCTGCTCCTAGGCCTTCCGTGAGCGCGCTGTCCCGGAGGGAGGAGGGACGAGGGAGGCGGACGTCTTCCTGGCTGGGGGTTTGGGGCTGGAGGCTGATCGCTCTTCTCCTGCCCCTCTCACCTGCAGAGGGACGGGCAGGCTGTGCTCGAGAACGTGACCGAGGATGGCAGGGAACTTCCCGGTTGTCTGGGGAGACACCAGAACCCAGGTGAGGGGGCCGAGGAGCTGGGGGCTGCTCTGGGAAGAGCTCTCAGCCTCGGCTTCTGGGGGCCGCTTGCCTCCCTCCGCGGAGGACTGGGGAGAGGAGAGGGGCCAAGCCTCCCAGGCCAGGCACTGGAAGCAGGAGGCGAGTTTGGGTCTCCCAGGAGGGCTCTGGCCAGCTTTAGGGGGAGCTCTCTGCAGGGGCAGGCGTCCAGGGCGGGGGGTTCAGTCCAGCCCCCACTGCTGGGGAGGGAGGAAGGGAGGCTCCTGTGGCCTGGCCAGGAAGCACGGTCCCTGCCTTACCCCGACCCCTCGCCAGGCCACGCGCTGGAAGCTGGCTGGTTCCTGCTGCGGCATGCCATCCGGAAAGGGGACTCTGAACTACGCGCCCACGTGATCGATAAGTTCCTATTGCTGCCCTTCCGCTCCGGTTGGGACCCTGACCATGGAGGCCTCTTCTACTTCCAGGACGTCGATGGCCACTGTCCCACCCAGGTGGGAGAGCCAGCCCCAGGAAGAGCCCTGTTCTAAGCTGTCCGCCCCCTCGCTCGTTCGGGCCCCACCATGGCATGGGGAGGCGGGCGTCCCCCATCCCCGGGGCTCGGAGAAGCAGCCTTTCCCAGCGCGTCCCTGGGGAGAAGCAGCGGGGCTGGACTTGAACTGGGCTAGACTACTGACGTGCGACTTGGTTAGGGACCACTGGAAGAAAGCGCCATACACTGGGGGACGCTTGTAAGCGAACAGATTCGCGCTGTCTGGAAACCAGAAGTCAGGCTGTGGGCAGAGCCGCACTCGGCCTGAGGCTTAGGGGAGGAGCCTTCTTTGTCTGTTCCAGACTCTGGCGGCCGGTCACAGCCTTGGCTTATGGTCACCTCACTCCAAACTCCACCTCCAGCTTCGCATAGCCTTCTCTCAAAATGACTGTGTCCCTTTAATTTTCTAAGGACACACCACTCAGCCTGGATAGGACCCACTGTACTTCCTAACAGGGTCGTGTTCAAGGGTTCCTGTAATTAGAGGACGCAGACATATCTTCTCGGGGAGCACAATTCAACCACGACAGGGAGCTATGGTGTCTCCAAAAGGCCAGGTGGTGGCCAGGCTGAGCCTTGGTCCAGGCTGGAGTTCGGCAGAGGGCCGCTGGCCATGGTCAGGAGCCGAGTGCCCAAGGGACTTCAAGACAGACTGATGAGACAGGCAGCAGTTTGATTTGAGGGCCAAAGGGAAGGGACCACTTGGGACACTGTCCCCACTCAGGAAGTTAGTCCCGAAAGATAGCTCGTGATCAAGCGCCAAGTGCCTGGGCTGAGGGAGGCCCGGGCTCTAAGGCAGCACCTCTGCTCTCAGCTGGAGTGGGCCATGAAGCTCTGGTGGCCTCACAGCGAAGCCATGATCGCCTTCCTCATGGGCTACAGTGAGACTGGGGACCCTGCCTTGCTGCGCCTCTTCTGCCAGGTGGCAGAGTACACCTTCCGCCAGGTGAGCTAAGGCCCCTGGAAGAATATTCTGGTGACCCGAGCAGCCCTGGAGCTTACGTTGAGGTGGGGGGCAGGGGGACAGATCCTAAACAGGTAAACCAGCCATAAAGCCAGGTGACACCCCTGTGGAAGAGGAGAGCAGGTGGGGGGCTGGGAGGCCACGGTCATCCTCCCACGGGGGACCCTAGTCAGTGAGCGGCGCCTCAGGGCCGCGGCTGGGAGAAGAGTCGTGGACAGAGAGGACAGCAAAAGCAAGGCCCACGGCAGGAGTGGCCCTGACAAAAGTTGGGGAGCCCCGCAAAAGGTGGGCTCGTTCCAGCTGGGCCGGGGCTGGGGGGTTGTGTGCGTGGGTGGGTACTCCGGGGCTGCTGGAACGAGCCCCCCAGAAGCCCGAAAACAGCGTGGCACAGGGCCGCGCGCTCTGAAGACCCTAGGAAGGGTCCCTTGGGTCTCAGCTTCTGGGGGCTCCAGGAGCTCCCTGGTGGTCCTTGGCTTGTGCCTCCGTGTCTGCAAGCGTGTTTTCGGCACTTCTGGGAGATACTGTTAGGCCCAGTACCGGAGGAGAGGGGCTGCGGGAGTGGGGACGGGGTGGGGCTGGTTTGCTGCGGTGTTGGATGAGCGGGAAGCAGAGGAGGGAGGGGCTTGACAGTGTGTGCTCTGGTGAAGGAAGGGGGTGGTGGGGTGAGGAGAGACGGGGGCGGGGGCAGCAGGGAAGGAGCTGTATTTGACATGTTCCCTGGGCACCCAAGTCACAGACGGAAGTGGGAAGCTGCAGCTGGGTTTGAGTCTACAGTTCCGGGGAGAGCTCGGGGCTGGCCCCAGATGTTTGGGTGTCATCGGAGGAGAAGGGGAGCTGCTGAGTGTCACAGAAGATAAGAGGGAGCAGGGGACGTGCCCCGCTAAGGAGACAAGACTGAGTTGGGGCTTTCTAGAGGCCAAACGAGGCGCAACAAGCAGTCCAGGGCAAGGAAGTGATGAAAGAAGATTCTATTGTGTTTCTAAAGCGCCCATTCAGGCCTTTGTAAAGCCGAGCCGGGCTGGGACTACTGCGAGGACTCCCCATCACACTTCTGTTTACACTGACATCTGACTGAAACCTAGCATTTCCTGCCAGTACGAATGCAGCCAGTGGAGGACCATCGGCAGCAGCTGTCACTAATAGAATTCCCAGATTGTTTCTGTCATGTTGCCGTTAGAGAGGGATCTCCAAGGGTTGGGTCCACTTGGCACCACCTGGGAGTCGTGGAAACACCCGTCACAATATCTTAATATTGAATGCACTCACCAATAATGTATATTGGAAGTTCCACACAGTGAAACATAAGAAATACATTTTAACGAGATCAAACAGACCAAAAAAAAAAAAAAAAAAAAAAACTCACTGCTCTCGAGTTGGATCCAACTCATAGCAACCCCTCCTTGGGTTTCCGAGGCAGTATAACTACGGAAGTAGATTGTTCAACCTTCCTTCCAAGGAGTGGCTGGTGGGTTTGAACCACCAGCCTTCTGGTTAGCAGTCAAGTGCCTTAGGCTCTACGCCAGCACAGCTCCCTTTTAATGAGATACGTATGGCATTTAACAATTTTAAAAGTTATAATAGATAAATCACAGACCAGCCCACTGAACAGCAGAACCCCAAAAGCAAACAGATAAAAGAGGGAAACAGGGACAGGTTTGCAGGGCCACCGAGAAACAGTAACCCCTTATCTCCCAAGGTCTAGTAGTCAAAAAAAACAAACCACTTAACAAGCTAAGGTCTGAACAATGTTGTTATTTGCCGTCCAGTCGGTCCCGACTCATAGCGACCCTTCCTTGGGTTTCCAAGGCAGTATCACTACAGAAGTAGGGTTGTCCAACCTTCTTTCTGAGGAGTGGCTGGTGGGTTTGAACCACCAGCCTTCTGGTTAGCAGTCAAGTGCCTTAAGCACTATGCTACCAGAGCTGCTAAGGAGAACAATAGAATGACTAAAAAACCAAAAAGACTCTACTGCCATTGAGTCGATTTGACTCACAGCGCCCCTAGAGGACAGAGTGGAACTACCCCATAGGGTTTCCAAGGCTGTCAATACCGGAGCAGATTGCTTTATCTCCTGTGGAGTGGCCGGTGGGTTCAAACCGTTGACCTTTTTGTTAGCACCTGAATGGGTTAACCGTTACACCACCAGAGCTCCTTAATAGAATGTTGTTGTTATGTGCCATCAAGCCAGACCTGACTCATAGCGACCCCTCCTTGGGTTTCCAAGGCGGTATCACTATGGAAGTAGATTGCCCCATCTTCCTTTTGAGGAGAGGCTGGTGGGTTTGAACTGCCAGCCTTCTGGTTAGCAGTCAAGTGCCTTAGGCACTATGCTACCAGAGCTCCCCTTAATAGAATGGACAACTATTTTTACTCCCTGCAAATATACTGACTTCTATAGGCACAGTTTTAAAAACCATTTTGATACTGTTCAAGTGTAACTGGTTTCCTCTGTGATCCTTCTAAAAGCAGCCCTGGTGGTGGAATCTGCTAGGCAGTGAGTTTCTTTTCTTTTTTGGTGTGTGTGTGTTCTGAGAAGGGCCTTGTAGTACATGGTGGTGAGTCTGCAAGGAACTGACAGATTCGAGAGGCCCAGTGGGCAAGCCAGGTGCCCGATGGGAGGTGACTTGGAAGAGAAAGTAACGTAGAATGAGTAGCCTGAGCTCCTGTCCTCTATAGACTGGAGGTGCCAGGGCAGGGACAGACTTTGGGGACCCAACAAGAGCAAGGGCAGGAGCCTGGTATCGGCCAGCAGTGGTTGTAGGCCAGGCTCACATCTGGATGTGCACACTTGGTGACCATACTCTCACTTGCTGAGACACATCAGGGCCGCCACTTGTTACAAAGTTACATGGCAGGTGTCTCCATTAGCATTCTCTTTAAACCATTTATTGAAATAATGAGTTATATACACTAAAATGTATCCATTGTCACCAAGACCCACGTGTTCAGTGCGCTAGACGGTGGAGATACAGAACGCCTCCACCCCCTCAAAGCAGGGCTCTCTTTAGCCCATCTTGTCAAGTTTCTACTGACAAGCAGCCCATCCCCAAGTCGCTTACACAGCTGGACACTGCTCTTGCCGCCACCCTTACAAGAAAAGGAAAAGCCCTCACTCATCTTTGTCCAGAGAGGGGGCACTGTGTTTAAGATTAAGAGCACGGATTCTGGAGCCACGCTACCTGGGCTCACCCGGGCTCTAACCCTCAGTCCAGTGGGGATGGGGGCGCGCCTTCCCTGGCCTGTGGCATTTGGGCGGTGCCTGGGGGGTCGCCTGCTGTCACTGTCCCACTTTTCAGTTCCACGATCCTGAGTACGGGGAATGGTTTGGCTACCTGAACCGAGAGGGGAAAGTCGCCCTCACTATTAAGGGAGGTCCTTTTAAAGGTGAGTGGGGTAGGGTCAGGGGTGCTGGGTGGGATCGCAGGAGCTGGCGTCCTTGCTCCCTTGCCTCTCCCAACTCCTCTGGCCACCTCTCCCTGCAGGCTGCTTCCACGTGCCCAGGTGCTTGGCCATGTGCGAGGAAATGCTGGACGCCCTGCTGAGCCGCGGGGCCCCAGGCCCTGGCCGTGGTGCCCGCGTAATAAAGCTGAGCCTAGTCTACCTGTGCGTGCACGCGCGTCCGTGGGGCCAGGGGAGGGGGGGGCGCCTTGGCGGTCACCTGCTCGCCTCCGCATTGGCTCGCCCGGGTCGCTGGATCGCTTTCCGCATTGGCCTACATCGTGTGCTGGTCCGCCCGAAGCCTCGAACCGCCCGTCTATTGGTCCACAGTGCGCCTTGGCCTGCCCCACACTCTCGACCGCTCCACGCGTTGGCTCGCCCCGTGCAAATAGCCAACCCCGCGCGCTGGACCGCCCTGCGCACTGGTCTACCCCGGGCAATGGCCAGCCCTGCGCATTGGCCTAGCGCCCAGGAGGGCGGGTCCGGTGGCAGCGCATATCCGGTCCGTGGCCAGTCCCGGCGCGCACCGCCCCTTCCGCCGCCGTCCCCCCGAGCCCGGCTCCAGCCCCGCCCGGCAGCACCGGTGTCGCTACGGAGCGCGGCGGTAGCCGACTGCGCTGACGACCCGCTCGGACTCGCGATTCCCCGCCGCCGTCATGAACATCCGCAATGCTAGGGTGAGAGGGCCTGGGCGGGGGCGTCCATCGGTGCCTCGTGGGGGCAGGGGACGCGTGCGCATGCTCCCGAGCGCCCCGGCCACCCGCGTCTCCGGCCCGTCCGGGCCACCCGCCGTGCGCTTGAGCCGGCGGGAGTTAGGACCCTGGCCCGTGCCGGGCGGGGCAGCCGCAGTCCCCGAGTTTGACCGCACCCGGAGGAGAGGCCTGAACGCTGGGTGACTAGCTCTTGGCTTCGCGCGTTGACGGGATCCACCGAGATGGTTGGGAACGCACGGTGCTTGAAGCGCGGCGGAGAGCCAGGACTTGTGCCGAGACAGAGATTCGCAGGGCCTGCTTAGCTTCGGAGGCAGGGTGAGTGGCCAGAAAGGCAGCGCATTCTGACCTGCTCGGGCCGCCCTTCTGCAGCCCGAGGACCTGATGAACATGCAGCACTGTAACCTGCTCTGCCTGCCCGAGAACTACCAGATGAAGTACTACTTCTACCACGGCCTCTCGTGGCCCCAGGTGCGCGGCGGGCCATGGGAAGGCTGGGGGGGCCCGGGGTGCTGGCTGGCCTGCAGGCCGGGGGAGGGCCGCCTCTTCCGGTTGAGGACAGGGCCCCGTGTGGAGCAGGCGAGCCCGCAGCCAGGTCTGGGAGTCAGGAAGCGCCATTTGCTGTCTCTGAATTTGCGGCGCTGTGCCATAAGCTGTTTGCTGACGCGCGGCCTCTCTGTCCGCAGCTCTCCTACATTGCGGAGGATGAGAACGGGAAGATCGTGGGCTATGTCCTGGCCAAAATGTGAGTCTCCAAGGAGGGCCCTGCGCTGGGGGTTCTGGGGCGGTCGGGGTCCTTTTCTGCTGCAGTTGCTAGACTTGATGACTCCATCTCAAGTGGTGGCTGAGGGCCCTTGTGAGGGTACCCTTCGTGTCCTGCGGTCCTGCGAATTTTGAACAGTGTGTAGTGGCACTCGTCCACCCTGATAGTATTACGTAAAGGAATTTCACTGTCTTGGAGACAGCCTATGCTCCGAGTGGTCACCCCTGCCACCCTGCCTGAATTCCTAGCAACCACTGAGCTTCTCAGTGCCCTGTGGTCTTCCGTTTCCGGAACGTCACAGAGCTGGAGGCACACAGCGTGGAGCCTTGTTGAGACCGGCTGCTTTCACTGGCGACGTGCACGTGAGGGTCTCGTCTGTTTGTGGCTTGGTAGGGCATCCTCTTTTAGGTGAGAGGCTTTTCCGTCGTGTGCCGTTGACACCGTACGTCCTGGAGACCGCAGCAAAGTGGGTCCAGAATTGGCTGCTGGCCGGGAGAGGCTCCCTTCTCTCCTTTCCCGGCCCAGCGGAGTGTGGGCCCCACAGAACCCAGGTGCCCTACAGCTGGGCATGCGTCCCCGCCTCCTTTCTGACCTCTCTCCTTTTTCCTCACTCTAGGGAAGAAGACCCAGACGACGTACCCCACGGACACATCACATCACTGGTGCGTAGATCCCACTCCCGGCTCTGGGGAGGTGGGAGGAGGGCTGTTCGGCACGGCTCTTGAGCGCCTGCCGTCAACCGCTCCACTGTCTCCAGGCTGTGAAGCGTTCCCATCGACGCCTTGGCCTGGCCCAGAAGCTGATGGACCAGGCCTCCCGAGCTATGATCGAGAACTTCAACGCCAAATATGTCTCCCTGCACGTCAGGAAGAGGTGGAAGCCGGGGCTTGGGGGAGGGGGAGGACGAGGAGGAGACCATCGTGCCAGGCGTCCTGGGGTACCCTGGCTTTTGGAGAAAATAGGGAAAGTGGGGTTGCTGGGAAGAGGGCAGGGGCAAGGGTAGGACCAGGTGTGCCTGCCCCTCCGTGGCCAAGCCCGTCCAGCTCAGCGGTGCCTTCTTCCCTGCAGTAACCGGGCCGCCCTGCACCTCTACTCCAACACCCTCAACTTTCAGTAAGTAGAGCCAGACTCTTCAAAGGGGCTGGGCTGGTCCTCGATGCGCTCCCCTCCGGAGGGCTGGGAGCCACTAAGCTGCCCTCCAGCCAGGGGAGCGGGACAAGCGGAGGTGGCCTGGAGTCGACGGTGACAGGGAGGAGGACGTGGACTGCTATGCAGCCAAGACACCTCCTCCACACGCAGCTGTGCCGCGTGCTGAGTGGAGGGCCAGCTGCCTGGCGCCAGCTGGGGCTAGGTGCGGGACCGCGTGGGGAAGGGCCCCGGAGGCGTCGGAGTGAGAGCTTGCGAGCAGAGAGGTGGGGGGTGGAGAGCAGGGACAGAAGCTGAGGAGGACTGACAGTGGCCGGGCACCTACAGGCGTCCAAGTGAGACCGGGAGAAAGGAGGGTGCAGTACTTTGGAAGGCTCCGGACGTCCAGGCAAGAAGGGCTGTCAGGAAGAGCAGTGGACGGATCTAGAGCCCTGGACGTCCAAACTGAAGCTGAGCACGGTCCCTGGTGGATAGGGGTAGGTTGGCTCAGGGAAGGGGGAGGCTCTGTGTGCCTGGCTCTCCGAGGGAATTCAGCAGGGAGCTGGCTGTACCCAGGACGCAGCAGTGAAAGGTACTTGAGAGTGAGGTGCCCTGGGACCGTGCTCAGCTTCAGTTTGGTGGCGGAGGAAGAGGAGGGCTGTTGTGGCAGGGGGTGGTCTCCAGGACTGGCCGTTGAGGAGGGAGCTCCGTCCTGAGCACAGGTGCCTGTGATGGGGGCTGCTTCACGGGCCCAGCTCCCTGCTGGAACCTGGCTACCTGAGTCTGCGGCAGCCTCTCTCTCTAGCTTCTGACGGCTAGCACGGCCCAGCCACGTGTGCTCAGTGGCAGGGAAGACCAAGTCCAGGGCTTTGGTGCTCTAGAAGCCACAGTGAAAATCCTTGGCGGCCACGTCAGGAAGTCCGAGTGGTCACAGGACCCGTCGGGATGGCGCTGGCAACTGTGCCTTGCCTCTCACTGGCTTGGCTGGAGAGAGCCAAGGGCAGGCCATGTTGGAAACGGTGCTCCTGGGAACCAGGTCCTCCGGGCTGGGCTTCCTGTCTCCAGAAGGAGCCTCCCAGGGGAAGAAACGACACCATGGCCCACTCCTGCTAGATAGAGCGATGGGGTGATGTGCAGTAAGCCTAGGGGCCCCCAGATGCTGGAAGAGCCGGGAAGGCTGAGGAGAAGCAGCTCCCAGAGTTGGTCTTCGTCTTGTCTCTGCCTCCGCCCCAGGATCAGTGAAGTGGAGCCCAAGTACTACGCAGACGGGGAAGATGCCTACGCCATGAAGCGGGACCTCACCCAGATGGCAGACGAGGTAAGAGCCCTGCAGGCAAAGACAGCAGGGCAGGCCGGGAAGGCTGTGCCGGAGGGGACAGGGGTGGCTCTCGGGAGCTCTGGGCCGGGGAAGGCAGCCAGCAGCTGGGAGGTGGCCACCTAGCTGGGAGTCGTGGGTCGTCTTGACCTCAGTCTCCCAAGCTGTACATTGGGAAGATGGGACTTGGCTGGGCTTTAAAAGAGCCCACCCACCCAGGATTCTCCACGAAGGAGCCTGGGCGTGTCCTGGGGTGGGATGTGGGTGGAGTCGGATGCCACAGCCGACCCCTTCCCCCCCAGGCTTGGGGTTTACACACAGAACAGGGCTGAGAGCAGTCAGGTCCTGGTCAGGACTGTATAGCTGATCACTCGCATTCTACAGGTGAGGAAACTGAGGCCCACGGAGGGGCAGGGCCAGGACTTCAGCCTAGGCTTCCAAGCTCAGTCCCGTGTTCCCTGTCCTGGCTCACTGTCTCTCACCTTGTCCCCTGCCCCAAGGAACAAGGGTTGCCCAAGCCTAGTCGGCTACCCATCCTTGGCTCGCAAAAGTTCTGGACACTTAGGCCTCTGTCTCTTTCCTCCCGCTTCCCCCTGGGATTCTGGTGGCAGCTGAGGCGGCAGCTGGAACTGAAGGAGAAGGGCAGGCACGTGGTGCTGGGGCCCATCGAGAACAAGGTGGAGGCCAAAGGCAGCTCACTTCCAGGCTCGGGCGAGGCCTGCCGGGAGGAGAAGGGCCTGGCTGCAGAGGATAGTGGTGGTGACAGCAAGGACCTCAGTGAAGTCAGCGAGGCCACCGAGAGCACTGACGTCAAGGACAGCTCAGAGGCCTCCGACTCGGCCTCCTAGAGCCTGCTGGGGTGCTTCTCCCTGTCTGGCCTTCTTCCACCTCTCCCAGGCCCACCGCAGCCCACCCTTACCCTGCTAGGTTTCCCAATAAAGCACATCCCGCGGCCTTGAGGAATCTGTGTGTGAGTGCGTGCATTCGGGTGGGCGAGCTGCTCTCCGGCGCTTGTGTGGATGTGAACTTGACAGCCTTTTGGCCCAGGCCTTCCTGCCAAGTCCAAGGAGGAGGGAAGAGCCATGCGTGCGGCTTCTGCTGCCCCGTCGGCTGGCCTTCCGGCTCACAGCAGGGAGACTGGCGTTCTGGGAGAGACTCCCTCACGTTGGGACGGTCTCTCTTCTGTGCCCTGCTCTGGCACCATCTCGTTGGGCCTCGGTGTCCTCATGAGCGTGCCGGGGGTGGACTGGACGATGGCAGAGGGCCCTCCTGGCTGCCCTGGTTGCAGTGTGTTCTGAGGGGCAGGCGCAGGCCAGCCAGCACACAGGTGCTTCTGGCCTCTGCTCTGACCCCTATGGTGGCTTTTGGTGCTGCCCAGGGTCCCCCCTTCAGTCTGTGCTCTCGGCCACCAGCTCTCCAGTTCACACCTCCTGGGCCCCAGATCCTTCGGCCAACTGCTTATCTGGAAATCCCTACACTTGGGCTGTCTGGGTAATGGGCCAGCTATCTATCGGGTACCCAAGCCTTCTCAGTTACCCATCCTTGTGTCCTGTTTCCCCAGACCATCCAAAAGGTCACTAAGTCCTGTGTGTCCCACTGCTGTAGCACCTCTTGCCTCTACTCATTTTAAATAGTCCCGATTTAAGCAAATAATTGGTTTTGGTGTTTAGTACGGTTTTAAACTTAGGGAAGTCCATACAGCTCCATCTCTGCCCCACTCGGTTGCCCAGATGGCTGTCTCACTTATGTGTGAAGTGTTGGTTACAACTGGTGAACCAATTTTTTTTTTTAATTTTACTGTGATTTGGGTAAAAGTTTACAGAGCAAATTCATCTTCCATACAGCAGACAGCAGTTCATACACATATTATTTCATGCCATTGACTGCAATTCCCCATAACGTAACAGCTCTCTTCCCTCTTCCTCTCTGGAGTTACCTCTTCCCGGTGTCCTTCCCTCCCATGCA